TCCTGACTTCTGCCCTCTCTGTGTTTTGGTTGGTTTCGTGTAATTCGGTCATCTCGAAATACTAATATTCCAAGTACAATAAATTACTACAAATTGGCGTCGCGATGGAGCTAAGTAACCTGGGAAAATTCCCCATTATTGGGTCTCTGCGGGAGATTGCTGATTATTTGGAATGCTTCGATGCGTGGTGCATTTCAAAGAATGTTCAGGATGACAAAATACCAGCACATTTCATCACTGCTATTGGGCTAGATGCATATAGCCTAGTGAAGAATCTGGCGTTTCCAGATAAACCCATTTCTCTGCCATATGCTAAGCTCCGTGAACTTCTTATAGATCACTTCCATATAACTACTTTTGAGACGCGACAGAGGGCTCAGTTCAATAAACTGGTTCGTGCTCCCAACCAGAAGATTCGAGACTTCATTCTGCAACTCCAAATACAAGCTTCAAAGTGTAACTTTGGAGATCAGCTGCATACTCAACTACGTGATCGTCTAATTGCTGGAATCAATATTCCTAAATTAGAGAAAGAGTTAATTCAGATTCCTTCTTGTACTTTTCAAACTGCTAAAGATGTATGTATTACATATGAAGATGTCAATAATGAATACTCTGCTCCCACTACGTCAATGTCTGATGTTATGCTTTCTAAAGTCGAAAATACAAGTGTTCATGGAAAGCAATCCAAACTGCCGTCCACAGGTAATAGAATGCAGCGAGAGATCAAAAACATTAAACCGTGTTTTTCCTGTGGAAAGTTACATCTACGAAGCACTTGCCGTTTTCGGGGTGCTAAGTGTCACAAATGTGGTAAAGTTGGACACATCAAGACGGTTTGCAGAAGTTCGAATACTTATGTTGCTCAACATTCTTATAATTCTCCCAAGCTGTCTAGTAAAATGTAGTCCATGTGTCTATCAACCTTTCAAAATACTCAAGCTAATCCAATGAAAACTTCCACTACAAGTTCAGCAACGCAAGCATCAACTGTTTTCAAAAATGAGGTAGCTGAGTTACAATGTGAACTGTCGAAAACACGAAAAAAACTGAACGAGATGAGAGAGCAACTGATTCAAATTGAGGAATTACTGTATATGCATAGACTGCGTCTGTTGAATGCAGAGCATACAAGTACCCGTGAAAGTCCTGCAAAACTTTTCAAATCTCGAATTCTCAAAAAGTATCTGATGTCCACTACTTCTAATGTACATTATTACAAAGGTAAAGACTATAGACCTTCTGTTGGAATTATACTAGAAAAAGAGGGAAATCGAGGGGTGAAGATATTAGACATCAAAGATCACTCAGTTCATAACAGACACCTGGACAAAGTGACAATAAATAAAGTAGGTCGTTCCAATTATAATTTTATTGATTCCGCTAATAATCCTGATTTTGTAGATAATTCAGAAATAGGTCCAGATAATACTGATGAAAATAATATCACAGAATCAGTTAGGTCGAAGCTACTTGCAAGCAAACCGAGACATCGTTATAAATACGCAAGGAGATATTGGAGGTGTGGCGGATGTGGTGATTGACGATTTCTATCTCTGTATTGTTAAAATACTTACTGTTGACTGTTGATATGTTTCTTATATGAATTGCATAATAATTCCGCTAAATACAAATTCCTGACTTCTGCCCTCTCTGTGTTTTGGTTGGTTTCGTGTAATTCGGTCATCTCGAAATACTAATATTCCAAGTACAATAAATTGCTACAGAAATTTTATGGTGGCAATTTCGTCCTGCATCGTTTTAACTACAGGAAATTTGAGCGGATGAATATGTCAAAGCGAGACAGCCAACCAGCTCGAGAGGGTCGTAGAAGCTAGGCAGCTCATCTTAAGCAGTCTGAAATCAGTTCGTAAACTTCCTGTGCTCCATCTCATCATGAAAAACAAGACTCAGATCGTCAACATTCATGTTAACTCAGTAGTCAGGTCTTCTGTTTTGAATAGAATGTTCGTGCGCGCGTCACGAAGTGCATTTGCAACAGGCTACTGAAGACCTTTGTCAATATCTTGTGCCTTCGCTAGCTGTCTCCATACTGAAGATGAAATGACCGGTTGGCCTGACAGAATTAGCAACAGGAACCCGGGGGCACGAACTAGCCATGAACGTATCAGTCAACAAATTTGCATTAAACGTAGCTGGTGAAATCTTTTGTGATTTTCAATTTATTTCAAAGAATTTCAAGGATAAATGTTATCCTACCGACCGTCATGATTGGACATATCGGGCATAGACTGGATTGATAAACTACCAATCAGGGATATACTTTCTCGTGATACAGATTGTGATGGGACTATCCCAATCCTTCGTAAAAGTTTTGGAAAACAACCATCAGTATTCAATACTCACTGTAAATGTTTGTTTCTGACCAAGGAACGATGTGATGACATGCTTAATTATGTTAGTAAAGTCAACCATGCGCCAGGCACGGAATACATGCTATTTCGTGGGTGGGGCATAGTATTCACAGACAGAGAAGAGTACTAGGAAATAGATATAACTTCTGGTGAGCCACCCTTTGAGAATCTATTAAAATGGGTAGATGTTAGGATGGACAAATTGTCATTGTCTTCCGTAAAATCATGATTGATGCAATGGTTCATCCATAGTTTAAATTTCAGTCTATGTATGAAGAATAATTTGAGCTGCATTGGGAATAATAAATTTGTTATTGTCGCAGTTGTCACAGTTAAATCTTACTCTTGTGTCAATCTGTATGTGGGAGAATATTTCAAAGTGATCACTTGACTACAGTTTCATGACTGGAGGCACATTCTCTTCAGATTAAACTGTGGTGGCGTGATACACACACAATGTCTTCCAAAGAAATGTAATTCTCACATATTCGCACAGTTCATTACTGCATTAACGACAGAATAATGTATGTATCCAAACATCCCATTTCATGTCGTTTAACGTAAACCAAAATCACAAGTTCAGTGATTGATTAAAGAATACAAACTATATATATATATATATATATAAACAGCGGTTGGTTCATGAAAAATATACCTTGGCTTCTGTGACTTGCCTTCTAATGTGTTACAACTGGATTGATGTTTCCTTGGTTGGTAATTGCGAATCATTGTTTTCGATTGCTGCTGGTATACTTCTTTTCTCCTCTGACTGGCTAGCCAGGCTAGATAGTGAGTGTTCCAGAATATGTTTGCAGACTTGACATTGCACACTCCCAATATATTTCGTCCCACACGAACAAGTGAACTGATAAATACACAGTGAGGTGTACAAAAGTGGTATCTTATCCTCCTATAACCTTACACTGGATTAGCTGTCTGCTGGAGAATGTGATGCATGGTAAGGTGGCTGCTTGAAATGTCTTTTTCAGACATTCAGAAAGGCAGTTTCTAAGATTCTCTGCTTCAATGTATCACCTGTGAATTGTAGGGTCATGAATAGAGTTTTCCTAGGGACAGTTGAGAGCTTTTGCAATGGAAGCTTTCCCTCCATGTTTTTATCGATGAATGACAGTAGATACCTGTGTTGAGTACGTAACAATGTGATTGTACACTTTTTGGTTACTTGTATAAATTCGAGATATTGTACATAATTTTCGTTTAAAACGCTTCTTGTTGAAATATACATAACTTCCGTGTACAATTTGAAAAATACACTCTGCTGTTGGAGACTTCGTCTTCTCCCTGGTCACTTCTGCTTACTTGCTCCACTCACACCGTGTTGTATACTTCGGATTTATTGTAGGAGCCTACTACTCTCAACCGAAGACATTTCTACAACCGGAACACAGCAGCTACAGCAGACGCAGTCCAAACAATTAACGTGCCCGTGGATTATATAATTAATTTGTAGCCGAGGACTTAGACGTTATCTTCAAGTAATCCTTTTTTGTCGCTATAACTCGTCACTGTATTTTTGGTAATATATTGTGATTTAACACTCCACTGACTTGGATTATTACTTTTATACTTGGAATGTTAGTGAACTCTAATATTAGTCCCCTACAAATTAATTGATGAGCCCGATAAGAACACGGATTATTTTGGCATATTCTTATTCTTATTTTTGCTATTTTGTATATTCATTGTGATTTTGTGTGTGGTTTATATTTGTATCCTAATTTGTACCAATAACCCCATATTCATAATGTCATCACCTCAGTCCGGTACATCAAATGAGCAGACAACTAATAGCGAGACAAACGCCACAATAAATGCCATCACTGATTTTCGTTTACCCCAATACGGTTTCGCAGAATCAAGGATTTGGTTTGCGGTAATTGAACCGTTGCTAGAAGCACGGGGCATTAAGTCCCAAATAGCCAAATATGGTATGGTGCTGGCAGAACTAAAGTTGACTTGGTGAGGGCATATCATCAAATACCAGTCGCTCCAGAAGACATTGCAAAAACAGCAATTATTACGCCTTTTGGATTATTCGAATTCTTGAGAATGCCTTTCGGACTAAAGAATGCTGCTCAAACATTTCAGCGTTTTATGGACCAAGTTACCCAAGGTCTTGATTTCGTCTTTGTATATATCGACGATGTCTTAATTGCCAGCTCATCGACGGAAGAACATATGCAACACTTAAGCTTGTTATTTCAAAGGTTTGAACAATTTGGAGTTGTTATCAATCCAAAGAAATGTATTTTTGGTTCCCCTTCCATTGAATTCTTAGGACATCGAATAACTGCCGAAGGCATCAGACCTACCGAAGATAAGATAGAAACTATTAAGAACTTTCCCGAACCTGATTCCTTAAAGAAACTTAGACGTTTTCTCGGGATGTTCAACTTCTACCGACGTTTTATTCCATCATGTGCCTCCATAGTTCAGCCACTGACCGACCTACTTAGATGCAATTCGAAGAAATTTCAGTGGTCTGAAGAAGCAAAAGCAGCATTTAATAATGCAAAAGATGCCTTATCCAACGTCGTAATGTTATCTCACATCAACCCAGAAGCTTCACTCATTTTATGTACAGATGCATCACAGGTAGCAGTGGGGGCAGTATTACAACAAAAGATGAAGGGCGAAGTCACCCCACTCGCATTCTTTTCTAAGAAGTTGGAACCGGCTCAGACACGATACAGCACTTTTGGGAGAGAATTGCTGGCCATATATCTTGCAGTGAAGCATTTCAGTTACTTACTACAGGGCCGGCATTTCACTATTTTTACTGACCACAAGCCCCTGTGTCATGCTTTCACTACTTCACTTGATAAACACTCCCCTAGAGAAGCCAGACAGTTGGATTATATCTCCCAATTTTCAACCGACATTCAGTACATCAAAGGGGATGCGAACGTGGTAGCCGATTCTCTTTCAAGAAGTGACATTAACCAGCTCCAAACGTCGGTAGACATCAGTCTTGATCGTATGGCTCAATTACAAAAAGATGACGTTGAACTCCAAACCTGCCGCAGAAACTCTTCCTTACAACTCAAAGATGTGCCTATCCCCTTATCGGATGCAACCATAGTCTGCGATGTATCTACCGGCACTAATCGTCCATTTGTCCCTCTCAGTTGCCGAAAAGCATTGTTCGAACATTTACATTCGCTTTCCCACCCTGGAGTACGCGCCACGGTCAGGCTGATCGGCGAACGCTTCGTGTGGCCTAAAATGAACTCTGACATTCGGAGATGGGCACGAGAATGTATCCAATGCCAATGCTCCAAAGTACACCGCCACACTATTACAACCCCGAAGACGTTTAAATTACCCGAAAGGAGATTTCAGCATATCCATATAGATATCGTGGGACCATTGCCAACATCAAGGGGATATACACATATCCTGACAGCGATTGATAGATTTACTCGTTGGGCTATTGCATGCCCCTTAAACGACATATCTGCTGAAAACGTTGCTTTAGTTTTTCTCGACCGTTGGGTGTCAAACTACGGTGTACCAACTACTATTACATCCGACCGCGGTCCTCAATTCCAATCGACACTCTTTCGCGAACTGACGAGACTTCTGGGAGTGAAACATATCTCCACAACAGCCTATCATCCGGCAGCGAATGGTCTAGTGGAAAGATTCCACAGACAACTGAAAAGCTCCCTGATGGCGCAGAATGATACATCTAAGTGGAGTGAATACTTACCTTTGATTTTACTTGGTATCCGTTCTACTATCAAAGAAGATTTAGGATGTACACCGGCTCAACTTGTCTATGGCACCAACCTAACCTTGCCTGGACAGCTAGTCCCCTCAGCCGATTCCACAGACGTGAACATTGCCGACTTCACTAACCGATTAACTAGACAAATGCTTCAACTTCAACCAACAGCACCTCGACAATCTCCCCGAAGAGATCAGATCAACAAACATCTACAAACTTGCAAATTCGTCTTCATTCGAGTCGACGCCATCAGAAAAGGATTGCAACCTCCATACGAAGGACCCTTTCAAGTTATTAAACGTTCAGACAAACACTTTACAGTGAACAAGAATGGAAGACGAGAGACTGTTTCAATTGATCGAATCAAACCCGCATACACCGACAACGACTTCGAATCTACATCGGCAGCTGCGCAATCAAATAATCAAACATCCGAATCCCCTCCACCGGCACCAAGTCTTATCCTCCCTCCATATCACACACGTAGTGGTCGGCAAATCAGTAAACCGGCTCGCTACGTTCATTTTGAGGACTAACAAAAGAAAAATAATTAAAAATTATTATTATCTTTTTCGTTTAGACATTATCATCATGACGGTTAGTATTTCGTCGTAAACTTTGATGTTACTATCACTATTATTTATTTATATGTACCTCACCGAAAAAACAGGTAGTGTCCTTTCCAAAAACTATTGATCTTTAATCCATATTTTTTTTAATGTTTCTTTCCCCTCCTTAATTACTGTGTATTTACATATTTTTCTTTATACATTAAAAATCTATGTTCATGGTTAGTGCAAATTTAAGTGACATGACTTTCTCTTTCAATTTTTATTGCTGAACCAATTGTATATGCTTTCAGACTTTACATGACTCACATACCTTCTCGCGTTTATGCATGTTGTAATATATCCCTATTTTTATCCAAAAGTTGCTATTACTATTATTATTTACTTCATAGTTTTACTTATCATTTCCCGGTTGTCTCTCCGGACCTCTAGGGGGGAGCCGTGTTGAGTACGTAACAATGTGATTGTACACTTTTTGGTTACTTGTATAAATTCGAGATATTGTACATAATTTTTGTTTAAAACGCTTCTTGTTGAAATATACATAACTTCCGTGTACAATTGAAAAATACACTCTGCTGTTGGAGACTTCGTCTTCTCCCTGGTCACTTCTGCTTACTTGCTCCACTCACACCGTGTTGTATACTTCGGATTTATTGTAGGAGCCTACTACTCTCAACCGAAGACATTTCTACAACCGGAACACAGCAGCTACAGCAGACGCAGTCCAAACAATTAACGTGCCCGTGGATTATATAATTAATTTGTAGCCGAGGACTTAGACGTTATCTTCAAGTAATCCTTTTTGTTGCTATAACTCGTCACTGTATTTTTGGTAATATATTGTGATTTAACACTCCACTGACTTGGATTATTACTTTTATACTTGGAATGTTAGTGAACTCTAATATTAGTCCCCTACACCTGTTTTCCTCCAGTAGTAGGGTTTCATGTAATGAATTTAATTCATACTCTATCCATGGTGTATTCCGGACAGATTTTTCTAACCGTCAAGTATACTAGGTTTCGCTTTTGGATCAGTGGGACGAAGCTCTGGAATTCGATAAACTGTCCAATCCATGTATAGTTTGCGATATACTGATCTTTGGATTGTTCAGTCTTGTATTCCCAGTAAGCAGTACATCCAGGAGTCGAAATGGAATGTTCTATCCACGTTCTAGAATGAATTTTATTGATGGGTGTGCTGCGTTGAAGGCTTTGAGGAGATAGTGTATATCAAATTTTCCGTTGCAAATTATGAACGCAACAATTACGTATCCCTTATATAGGTGCAAGTGACTGATCAAAGAATTGAGGATGTTGTTTTCAAGACTTACCATGAAGATAATAGTGGACCGATAGGGAACTCCATAGCTACACTATCTTTGTGAACATAGAAGTGTTCATTAAACTTGAATAGGATATTAAACTCCTCCAGATAGTTGCTGCGAAGAGGAACTTCTAGCTTGTTGGATTCTATGTAGTCCCGAATGAATCATATTATCCTAGTCAGTGGGATACTTGTAAATAGAGAGGTGATATCCAGTGAAAGCATTTGTCTTTCAAACGCATTTTTATCTTTCACCGTACCGATGAAGTCAAGTGTATTACTAAGGCTATAGACTGTGTCGTATGTCTCCTTACCGGTTCAGAGATATCTGCCATCACGTCTTCCTGACGCATAATTTTTTTTGTGTTGAATTTATGTACAGAGGTTTTCTTTGTCATTCGTAGAAAAGATTTTTATCAACCTACGTCTTTGTGTTCAATATTTACTAGTGACCATGAATTTAACATTCGCTTCTTCAGACGTGTTTACAGTTAGTTAACCGAATAAAATAAACGATATTAAAGAAAGAAAGAAAGACCTGCTTTATTTAGAGGAGATAATACAGCATTCAGTGTTCATGTTTAGTAAAAATACAGACAAAGATATACGTAGTTAGTTCTACAAGTCGGCATTTATGTATGCGCCCACCAACACATACATACATACATACATGCATATGCATACACAATCACAATCAATGTATTCTTATTCATAAACTAATAATTGGACAATATGACAAAGATAAGCAAATGGGTTTGTTTGAAAATTGAATCGATTTTCTCCCTAGGCATATGCTAGAATATTCTTCTTCTGTTGATGCTGGATTTTTTTATATATAAATAAAAGAAAAGGGCATTCACAGAAGCTTACTCTTCTCTTCAGAGATAGCATTCTCAAGCTGTTCAACCGCATATATTATGTGGTGAATTAATTTTAGCAACAAAGGAATTTTTTCCAAAGATGTGTCATTAGAATTGCAAATTGTGTTTAGATAACCAGATATGCGATGTAGACAATAGCTACCCTGAACGTCAATTCATCGCAGAATCCGTGAGGCCTCTAGCCTCCAAAACCGCCCACATATTCTCCTAAAAAAGACTTCTCTAATTGAATCCATAATTCACTGGAGACTGGTTGGCAGACATACTGAGAAACCATATATCCCGCGGCTCATTGAAAAAAAACCATTCGTGGCTGAACCAATGATTCGCATAAAGGTGAAGTATGAGCTTCCATTATTGGCCTTTATCAATGGGCATCTACCATCAATTCAGACCTACTCGTGTGTAGTGGCTAGTTGTGTCAGCCGTACCTAGTGTTTGTTGTCCGAACGTATTATCGCACACTTATAGTCATGGTTTTATAAAGGAGAAAAAAGATCCCTATCTCTGCTGCAGCAGCTCTATCCTGAACACCAAGCTAATTCACCTACAAGAGGACTTCAAAATCATCTATCTACAAAATACGTGTGAATCTTGTTAAAACAGTACGAATCAAAATTCTTCAAAGTAATGGTGGCATTTCACACATGTTAAGTCCTAAACACTGCATACTACATAAGTTTGATCAGTGTCATGAAAAGAAGACAATGAACCTGATCTATCTTAACACTGACTATGTATTTTTATTTGTGCTTTTTTCGTTATTGTATTATTTCCTTCGCCCACACCCTATTAAATTTCTGTCCTTTATTACCACACTGTTGTTAACTTGACTCAGGTTCAGATTTCTGGAACGTCAGAGGCCTTACGTAGGATTCTCAATAAGGCTGGGATTAGTTGGTGTGGCATTCCAACCAAACAACCAACTGTCTGTCAGCTTTTGAGGATCCAATGGATCCGATTATGAGAAATCACATTTGTGATTTACCAAATACCACTTAATAACTGTGAGGTACATTACATAGGCCACAATAATAGATCGGGGTCAATGAGATTATCAGTGAATAAAAATATAGTCACACCTAGAATCATTGATCCTGTTAAGTAGGTTAAATAACCTAGAAAAAAGCTCAGCAACTAAATTGCATTCACTTGCATATAATCACAAAATAGGGTGAACGCGAGAGGGTGAAAGTATTAAAAAGTGATACAGTTAAGTGGAGAGACAGAGTTCCATTATTGGTAAATTTTTGCTTTGATAAAGTCTCACAGTGTTATGCAGTAATGTTTACTGATAACATTTCGGGCACAATTTATTGCTCATAATCATATCAGGGTACTCACACAACTTTCTAACTTCGTTTATATAATTCCATTATCTTTCATCGCTTGACTTGATTAGTAGTAGTAGTATTCTCCATATTTCCGGTGTGAGTGATGGGTCATTCATTCTTACTGCATGTGTTGGGTGTGGACTCGATGAACAAGGATTCAGTAATCAAGCTTTTTCTCCACCTATCTGGATTACTTTTTAGAATTTTAACCCTCTCCCACCCTATTGTGTGGTTGTGTGTTAATGTTAATGCATGTAGTGCAATTGCTGAGCTTTATTCTAAACTACTCATCTTCTCGGGGTCAACCATTCTTACCTTAGCTAAATTCTTATGTTCTGACAATCTGATTGTCCCTGACCATCTAGTTTGACCTATATAGTTGACCCAACTCACAGTCATTGCAGGTTATTTTGTAAATTATATTATTTCGTCTAATTGGGTCAATAGGGTCGTTTAACCTACAGAGCCTGTCTGTGATTGAGGTTGTAGATTAAGATGCCAATCTAATTCCTGCTTGATTAAGAATCCTACGTAGAGTTTCAGATGTCCGCTCCCTATATGGGGTAACATATGAGGCCCTACGTAGGATTCTTAATAAAGCAGGAATTAGAGTGGTATCTAAATCCACAATAATGAGAATAATAATAAAAACTGTGTTTCATGTATTCATGAAACCGCAATTTAATTTTATTTTGAAAATAAAACTGATCAGAATTTAGAAAATATAACGAAATCAATAAACCTACAATTTCTTCTACCTGTAGTAGACATGTTCTGCTGTATAATCACGTATACTTAAAAAGTGTTTATAACCTCCTCATAATGATTTCGTTACCAGGGTACCACAGTCTGAACAAAATATGCTGAATAATAGATAAAAATGGATAGTGAAAATTGAGGGAAGTAAGTAACAGGTAACAAGCCGAAAATTCTACTGGACGAGCATTTCACCGTAAACATTTTTCAGTTATTCAGTTCGTCGAGTCGTGTACTCACTAGCTGGTATAAGTAAGAGAACCATTGAAAAACCAGGAAACAGTACTGGACTGCTGCTTCGTTAGCCTAGTTTGACATTCCTTAGAAATACGCGTCCAGTATGGAGATCGAACCAAGGACCTTCAAGTTACAAGCCAAGCTTTTAAAGGATTTAACCAACCGTGACTCGATCAAATGTCCTATGAAGTTCTAATTTCTGACAGTTTAAGATGTACGCATAATACAACTTCTAGTCTTTGTTAACATAGGCAAGTCACTGTCCCCTAATCAGACTTGGTAGACCCAGCAAATTAAAAATTCTCATCAGAACTGCAGATAACCTCCACTATGTATGCAATCAGTAGTTTCAGTAAGCATCAGCTTGATAACTAAACTTTTAGTTTGCGAGGTACTCTGGTGACTACAGGTTTGACCACTAAGTGACATCATCACTAGACCGGCCCCCAGTGGTTAATGAATTGTCTAACACTTTGCTGGCCTTCTAACAACCGGAAAGTTCTGGCTTCAAACACAAGGATGGTGCTTGCGTACCCCTGGAAGGACAAAACAGTTGTCTGGCAGTAATTACAGGTGGTCGACCTGTGCTAATATAACTGATGTCAGACCATGATGAAATCCTGAAGACAAAATATCGGAAATACTCAAGCACTGTGAATATTTTCAACTTCCCCGAAGCCTCGACTTGTATGTTGTCGAAATGACACATGATTCAATTCCTTCAGTATGTTTAAAGGATAGATTATCTGTTGTATTTATTTGTTCATACATTGAAAATTCTGCGAAGACATTTAAAAAAAATTTTGTGATTATGTACCAAGTGATTTTGGAAAATACCTATGTCTCTCAAAACATGTTGTTCTCTTCATTATTATAACAGTTCTTTTCACATTACCCAGTGAATGAAAATCAAAACGATATTGCTGTTTCTGCTGATGCTCCGCTATTTAAAATGCTACTAATAGCTTTATCAAAGTAGTATTATTAGACCGGATTTAACAAAATCGCATTTATACATGAGGCATTTTTCTATGTTTTTGTCAAGTTGGATATTTGGTACAGATAACAAAATCATGTGTGTTGACTGTGGGATTTGATAAGCGTTTAAAATTATAAAACAACAGCATGTGTTTGCATAATGAAATTGCTTATCACATTTGTATTGATTTTGTTACATCGTGGCGAGGAAGGGTGGCGGTGGGTGGTGTGTTGTAACCAGGGCAAATTCTCATCTAGTCCATCAATCTCCCATTCAGACAATTTGGATATGAAGGGTTTCTGACTATATGAGACATTTTTTGTGATATCTGAAAATTTCTTCGGAATTATTTCAATATAGTCAAAATCAATTTTGTGGTCTGATTCTATAGTGTGTAGACGACGTCT